GTGTTCTTCCTGACAGGCTGCCTGCATTCCAGCACTGGTTACCACTCCATCTAATCGCTGCTGGGGACAACCAGTAACACAATCTGATTGCCCTAGTGAGCTGTCCACCAGAACTTCCTCCCAGATGGAAGTGGAAGTAACACTGTGAAAGATGTGAGCTGCTCCCAGCTCAGTTTCATGTGGGCAAGCTAACAAGTAATTTATTGGTTGAACATTGGGGAAGGGGGTAGTAGCAGGGAATGTGGTGCCATGTGAAATCCAATCTCATATGGTCCCTCGAACCATCACTGCCATGCCATAAAATTGTATCTAATCTTCTACCTCGATTCCACTTTCCGATCTTTGTCTCATTTGAGTTTATCTCCTTTATTATGATATGGAGCTGGACAGCCAAATGAAATCAGCCTCCCTATCTCTAGGGGGCTCGAATCAAGCAGACAATAAGCACAGTTAAGGGATAAATCAGAAGGAAAATAAAGGAAATGTAACTGGCCGGTTCACTTAAGCAGTGTCCATGATCTGTAATATTACAGGTACATAGGGTTGTATCTTGCTAGATTTCCAAAGACACTATTCAATGCATTTTAATCAGGACTGATGTCAGACTAACTGGCTTGTAATTTCTAGTTTCTTCTCGTTCTTTTTTGAACAGTGCTGCTACATTTGCTAACTTCCAATCCACTACAACACATCTAGAATATAGGCAATCTTGGACAATCATAACCAGTGCACTTACAATTTCTGCAACTATTTTTTTTAAAGAACACTGATGTGGACCATCAGATCTTTGGGATTTGTTGACTTCTAGTTTAAGATTACATTTTCTCTGCTGATGTTAATGACATTAACAAACAGGGAAACAGTCCTTACAATTAAGATTAACTAGTATCATAATTTTAGCAATGCCTCATGTTTTTCTGTGTTGAACAAGTAATACATTGTTCATGTACAAGTGAATGGGATTCCAAAATACTGTAATTTGTTTAGCTGACCAATATAGTCTTGTAGCATTGCTGAACTTTTAAAACAATTCGGACCAGGAATCTGATTGACCAGTTGTGCTACATGTTGCGTTCAGCCTCAAACAATATTTGTTCTCAGATTTTCATGAGATGTTGGGATATTCTTCTCAGGTGATCAAATGTAGCATCAGGATAGTGCTGAATGACGTTTCCACAGAAATTCATTTTCATGCCTATGGCCAAAGCTGAATTGGTACTCTTGGGAGTTGAAAGTTAGAAACCAGGGGAAGAACCTTTTACTTCTGAAGGTGGTAAGCTTGGGCACAGGAAGGGGCCCTAGTTATGTGAGCTGGTGATATAAACCAACACTGCCACCTTCTCGATTCCTCCAGAAGATCTGGGTGGGGAAGTTTTCTGACCCACCACTGATTGAATGCCCTTAAGTTGCCAGTAAAAGGCCAGTTTACCTTTGTGCTTGATTCTTTTGTACCTGACTGGGAGGATGGGGTGTTCCTCTGGGGATTTCTGAGGTAAAGAACTGCTGACTTCTGATTGGGTGTCAACTCTCACTAGGTGGGATTTTCATCACTGGTGTCTTAATTGCAGGCCAGAGTGAGGATAATTAGTTGGAGAAGTGCATGAGTTCATGGGGACTCTGTGGTTAGCATTGTTGCCTCACAGCGCCGTAGACCCGGGTTTGATTCCAGCTCGAGCAACTGTGCAAACCCAACACTGACCACCTTTCCGTATCTGTGTTAGTTTCCTCTAGGTGTTCCGGTTTCCTCTCAACGTCCAAAGATAAGGCTAAACTGCCCATAGTCTACAGGGATGTGTAGGCTAAGTGGATTAGCCATGGGAAATGCAGGGTTACAGGGATGGGGTGGGTCTGGGTGAGATGCTATTCAGAGGGTCAGTGGGGACTTGATGGGCCAAATGGTCTGTTTCCACACTAGGAATTCTATGATTGAACTTAAAACTGGTTGAATTGAGTCAAGATCATCTTAACATGCTAGAATTAAATGTTGAAGTCATTGGATTGAAGCCAGCTACCCTATATGCTCAGTTTTTTTTTTTGTTGGCAGATTTAACTCTTAACTACCCATAGACAAATACTTGTGCTTCTTCAGATTAAAATTCTTCCCACTGTCTTGCCAAACAGAAAATCACTGATTGTCTAAGCAGGGAATTTGTAAGTCTCAAACCAGATTTGACTTAAATAAAATCTCCTTTTGGCAGGACAGAAAACAAAGACAAATTTATTTTTGTAATTTTGCACTCATCAGGACAATCTGCAAGAATACCAGTAAAGGGAAAATCCAAATTTACACTGACAGGAGAGTGCTGCTTGTTTGGCAAATTTGCTTCTGCTGGAAGCATTACCGTGGAGAATGTCAATCATCAACAATTGCTTCAGTTAACTGCCAGATGGTTTAGATTTTAAACCAGGAAAGTTGATTGGTTCTTCAGTGAGGACCTTTCTGAGTATTGACTGTTAACTGTCAATTATCATTAACTGCTGCATTTCCTTAGCAAAGCCTTTACTAATCAAATTCCACTTCCTACAATCCAAGCTGCACTGTCTTAATCATACTATAATCATACAATGTAAATAATACCTTTCTCCTTTATCACAGTTGCAAGTTGTCCTGCTGAATTCAAGATGAAAAGCTCCAATGAAATAGGTGTTTTGTTATGGGGAAGAAAATCCCATTACATCCATTTTTGAGACAAGATGTCTTTAGTGTAAATTTGAGCATAAAACCTTCCGTTGTGTATGATATGTGGGCAGGCACTCTAACTTTTCAAGTCAGCCCAATAACCCTGATTCATTGAAAATTGTATACGAGGAGTAACACCAGGCATATCTGAAAATGAAATACCAAATGCGTGTAGCTACAACACAGCACAACATGCATGCTAAACAACAGAAGCAGTATGAAATAGGATCACTTAGCACTCTTGATAACCAAAGGATCAGATCAAAGTTTTTTGGTCTTGTCATATCCAGCCATAAATGATGGTGCACAATTAAATAATAATGAGAGGAGAGCTCCACATCGATCTTCAGTCTGTTAGTCTGACATCAGTCCTGATTAAGATGTCAGAAACTATTTGCATTGACTGGTGTCTTCGGAAATCAAGCAAGATACTTTCTCACGTGCCTGTGATGTTACCGATTGTGGAGACTGCAAAATCCCTTTTGGCCTCCTCAGCATCCTATATTACAGATTCCAGTCTACAACCAATTCAAATCATCCTATGTGATATCAAAAAATGGCTGAAGGCACTGGAAAAACCAAGACTAGGGGTCCTGACAACATCCGGCTGTGATACTGAAGATTTGTGCTCTGGCACCACGCTCCTAGCCAAGCTGTTCTTATACAGCTACAACACGCATCTACCTGACAATTGCCCATGTATATTCTGTCCACGCAAAGCATATCCAATCCATACCTCCTCTTACTATCAGTTTACTGTCAATCAGCAGTGATCAATGGTGTGGTCAACAGTGTATTCAGTGTGGCTTACTCAGCCATAACCTCCTTACTGTTTTTCATAGTAGGTTCTATCAAGGCCAGTTGGCTCCAGGCCTCGTAACAAACTTTGTTTAATATGGATAAAAGAGCTAAACTCCACATGGGAGGTCAGAGTGACTGACCTTGACATCAAAGAGTCATGGTAAAATTGAAAAAAAGAATTTGGGGTCAACTCCATTGGGTGGAGTCATACCTACCACAAAGGAAGATGATTTTAGTAAAAACTGAAAGAACTGCAGATGCTGGAAAGTAGAAACAAAAACAGAAATTGCTGGAAAAACTCATCGGATTTGGTAGCATTGTGTTCAGAAATCAGACCACAGGAAGACCATTTTAGTCATTGAGGGTCAATCATCTCAGTCTTGAGTCATCCCTGTGGGAGTTCCTCCTTGTAGATTCCTGATTTCTCAAATACTGAAGCAGTCCATGCCCATATGCAACAAGTCCTACACAACATTCAAGCTTGGCTGATAAGCAGCAAGTAACATTTATCTTGTACGTATGCCAGTTAATATTCATTTCTAACAAGCGAGAATCTCACCATTTTCCCTTGATATTCACTCAACTCCCATTATTAACATCCTGGGGGGTTACCATCTACCAGAAATTCAACAGTATAGTCTGTATAATACTGGTCTACAAATACAAGTCAGAGCCTGGGAATTCTGTGCTAACTTCCATCATTTCTAAGGCACAAGGCAACAGTGTGATGGAATACTCCCCACTTGCCTGGATAAGTGCAGCTCTAAAAATGCAAAAACTGTTGAAATTTTACCAATTTTTAAAACTGGTTTAATTCATGCTTCTAGGCTTCACTTTATTTTTGTGATTATCTTCCAGCTCTGCTCTCTTGTTACATCTGAGAAGATTTTCTTTTCCTTTTATCACGGATGATAAAACTTACAGAAATTGAAGGAATGTGTCCACGATTAGCTGAATCTCTGAGATACAGATGGCCGGAGGTGGAACTTACCAAACAATAAACCTTCAGTTTTACTACAAAGTGATTTTAAGGACAGATACAGGACAGTGTCAGATAATCATACATGTTAATTAGAAACGAAGAATGAAGTGAAACACAGCCAACTCAAGCAAGCTCAATGCAAACTTCAAAGATTTGTTTTAAATTATTTTAGAGGCATATGGTAACCAGGCACTTGCAGGAATCACAGAAATAAACAGGTGAGGTAATCTCTCCGGGTTTGTACCTGACTTGGGCGTACTTAACCCTAGTATTGAGCGCAAACAAAAGTGCTACACCTGGATGTTATCATCCTTCACTCCAATTACACATTGAAACAAAACGCAAATAAAACAGAGGATACATGTAAGCTATCAGATAAACGGTAACGAGATGCAAATTGCCCGAAGCCATACTCACAAACGACCAAAACTTTTACCGAAACAAAGAAAGGAACGCATTAAACATGTTTCTGGTGGGTAGCTGGGCATGCCTATGAATACTTGCAACACAATAGCATTATTCATCTCATCTTCTTACATTTAGGGAAAGCCTGCATGTCAATAACCTTTTAAAAAATTTGAGGCGAGGAAATATTAATCGTGTTCTGAGAACCGAATCGTGGTAATGCGTTATTGCCTCCGTTTACACATAAAACAAGTTAAGGCGGTATCTCCAGATGAGCCAATTCTATCCTTTGAGGGGAAACAGTGTGTAAGCTTCTTCGCTCCTGCTCCTTCAGCGAGGGAGGAGGAGCAGAGCTCTTGCAAAACTTTTTAATCAAAAGGCATATGCTGTTTCGTGGAACCCTTCCAGAACAGCAAGCAGGGACAACAGTTGCCATGGTGACTAGCCCAGCCTGTCAGCATTCTGCAATCAGTGGAAGTGTGCTGAGAAGGTCATGTGAGGGAGTTGTGGGAAACCCAGTAGGTATCTGAATCCAAACTACTGTTAGTAGCAGTTCAGCTAATAGGGAGGTTTGTCTGGGAAATATAAACCGGAATGGAGGGGAGAGGAAGGCACTGCGTGTTGCAGGTAATAAAGGGTGAACTCTACATACTTTAAGGTTTATAGCACGGCACTTAACGCTGGTTTTCGGCTTTCTGGAGCACACCGGCATATTTAACTTTGGAAGGTGATGTCATGTTGGATTCTATTAGACAAATACTGAGAAAAATTAAATATTAACTAAATGTACATATAACCATTTTTAGCTATTTGTAGGGCTAACTTTACGGGGGGGATTAAGAGTACTTTTCTATTAAAATGTGATTATTTTGTTTACTTTTTAAAAAATAACTCTTTAAAAGTACTGGATTTACATTCTTTCAGATATTTTAATGTTGTTTGTTGTAATTTTTATTTAATCTCGTCATACTTTATTCCCAGCCTGGACCCTGAATCTGTTCATTTAAAGAAATAAAGAAGACGTCCTTGTTTCACCATTTGACTTAGCTTTTCCATGAGCATGTGGCTTACTTACTGTTCAGTTCATTGATATTCTCGGCCATTTTCCTTCTCTTATGTCCCTGGATTTGGGCAAGCGGGGCACTGTAGTTTTCTTGCACTTTCTATACAGTGTGCCTTTTGTCTACTCTCAAATAATGAAGTGTGGCTGTGATTGGTTCGATTTTTGTTTTGTGCTGAGTGGGAGATGTTGCTGTGGCCTTCGCTGTTCCTTGTACCCAGTGGAACACCTGGAACTAATTGAAAGTAAAAGCAGCCAAGGCTGTGGAGGCATTTCTACCTCTGCTGCAGGCTCACTCCCACATTAGGAGTATGGAGATGGAGGAGGTCTTTTTTTTTTTCTGGACATTATCACACTCTTCACTCTTTTTACTTTTTATTAAGATACATAAAAGAACCAGCTCTTGCCTACTTGTGCCCACATAGATAGATATAGTGTTATATTTCAGGTTAAGCATGCCGTTATAAGGTGCTTTTGATACGTTTCCCCTTTTTTTTTTTGTTTTTGCTGACCTAAGATATTTCCACTTTTTGAAACAGGAAAAGTCTGCATTGCATCAACTTTTCCATCTCTGTCCTGCTCTTTTGACTTATCACTGTAAATTAATAAAAACTTTGAGAGAGAAGGGGCACCTGCTTGACAGGTGTGTTATTAACTATGAGTTAATGATTTGTTCCAGACTTCAAAATGATGGAATCTCAGTCCTCAACTATTTGGTTATATTTAATAATTTATCTGTTTATATAATAGCAAATTTGATTGGTTTGTGCTAAGTGTGTAATATGATTTTCTCCTGCCCCTGTGCACTACAGAATTGAGACTTGCTTCATTGACCAGAAAAGCACATGACATTCTCTTTTTGGTACAATACTGACCTTGAAAATATTCTCATGGAACCATCCCATCTGTAATATCCTAATGAAGATCAATATTTGTGCTCAGGAAAAATTTTTTTTTTTTACCCAGAATGAATACAGATGTATCTTTACAGCTGACTTCTGTATTTAAATTGTGTTTAATAACTAAGGAAAAAATGGGTTATGACAACTTTTTGGAACATTGGGCATTGCTGGTTAAGCTAGCATTTGTTGCCCAATCATAATTGCTGTTGAAGGTGGTGAGGAGCTGCAATTTTGAATCACTACTGTCCAATTGGTGTAGGTAGACCCACAGTACTATTATGGAAGGAGTTTGATCAAGTGACATGAAGGCATGGTAATATATTTCCAACTTGGGATGGTGAGTGGCTGGAAGGGATATTTGCAGGTGGTGTTATTGATTCTTTGTTTAAAATGTTGTAGGATATCAGCTTGCCTGAGAAACGCTTTTAACCTTTCTAAATTCATAGTTGTGGATTACTGTTGTGGAGCAAAACCTGTTGCATCAAACCAATATGTGACCACACAATGCTTAATGTATCATAAGATAGTTGTTATCAGGTGTAGTGCAGGATTGCTGAAAGGTGTTTATGAATTTGGGCTCATCTCCAAGCAAACACATCATTCAACTTTTAAAGGTGTGGTGCTTGGTTACAGATGCTAACTTTCAAGTCAGTTAGGAGCTTAGATTCCATCACCTGCTTTGTTTTTTTGTTTTTTTTTAAAATGTCCATGCTGCAATTGGAAGAAGAGCAAGTTCTCCCAATCTTGTGGCCAACATTTGAATAAATAACATCAATAGCACAACATCAGAATCTTGTTTGTGCTGTTAGTGAGACCTTTTTTTATTGTCTAAATATTGATTACCACTTATTTCTAAGTCGGTTTCATGTGTGGCTTTGAAGGTGGTGTACGTTTCATACAGACCTTGCCTTCTGGGCCAGCGGAAGGTCTGTGTTGGGAAGGTGCAGTCGAAGGAGCCTCCTATAGCTGTGATGCGTCTTGTAAATGGTATACACTACTGCTATTGCAGTGGAGGGGGCCTGTTAAACATGCTGCTTTGTCCTGCAATGTGTCCAGCTTCATGAGTGGTTCTTGGAGCTGCACTCGCCCAGCGAGTGGAGAATATTGCATCAAATGTCTGACTTGTTTTTGACAATGGTGAACAGACTTTGGGAGTTACTTGCTGAATTTCCAGTCTTTGACGTGCTCCACAGTATTTAAATGACAGTAATGCTGCTGTTTGCCAAAGGGAGATGGTTAGATTCCCTCCAGTTGGCTATGAACATTCCCTGACATGCATGTTCTGAATATATCTTTGAGTGAGACTGACCAGGTCTTGCTGCATGCAGACAGTAACTAAATTAGTACCTGAGCAGTTGTGAATGGTGCTGAATATCGCGTAGTCATCAGCAATTGTGATGTTGAAAGGAAGTTAATTGAACCAGCTGAAGATGGTTGTGGCTGGGGACACTACCGTGAGGAATTTGTAGTGTTTTCCTAGGTCTGAGTCAAATGGGATCCATCAACTGCAATCATCTTGCTTTGAGCTCGGTATGATCCAAACAAGTGGCGAATATTCTTTTGATGCCCAGTGACTTAAAATTGTTAAGATTTCTTGATGTTCACGCTCAGTTACATTTTGTCAAGGGCAACTGCTTCTCGCCTCAGGAATTCAATTCTTTTACTCCACTCCCTGGGAACAATTTGTGGAATATAAGCCTCTTTGTAACCTCGGTCGAATTTAATGGAGACACCATGTCATTTGTTTTTTTGGATAGGTCAGCAGAATGAAGTACCGGAGTGATGATTAACTGGATAATGATGGCCCCTCCCAGGATTGAGGACCTGTTTGCTGAAGTCATGTCTGTGACATGAGTGCAGGCTGGGCAGACGGTGGCTGCTGTCAGTAAGATCCCGAAAGCCACAAGCAATCTGCACAAGTTTGCTTTTTATACTCCCCACAATGTGAGTCCATTAAATGGGCCTTCCCACCAATGATTTGTTTGGGGTCATAGTTGGAAGGTGACAAATTCCTCACCTGCCATTACCCACCAAATTCACCAGATTGATGTCAACTTTCTAACCCTGTGTTGAGCTTCTGAACAGACAGTCAACTTATGCTAAGAAAGTGTACTTGTTTCCTCTTCTGTCATTTTACCCCTCTCCACTTATTTGCTATAGAAATTCTCACTCATGCCTTTGCTGCCTCCTAGATTTGATCGAGCTAATGCTGTCGGGGCTGCTGTTCTGATCCAAAATTCTGCTATTGCCTTAATTTGCGCCAAGTCCCATTCATTCCTTGGCTCACTAGCTTATATTCACTGCTAGTCAATCAAAGTTTTGATAGTAAAATTTGCATCTTTACTTCCCAATCCTTCCATTGTCTCACCCTTGCCTCTGGGATATCTGCACCCTGTGAATTCTGTCTTCCTGATTGCCTGTCTTTACATCACACCAGCATGGTGGCCATACCTTCATTAAGCTCTAGAATGCTCTCCCTAACTCTTTTTCTGCCTCTGTCACATTTCCTGCTTTAAAACATTCCTTACAACCTCCTCTTTGTTTTGTGAACAGAAAATACGTTCTTCTACTTGAAGACACTGGTCAAAATCTTGTTCCCTCCATCTGGATTAGTTAGTTGCTGAGAGTGGAGTCACTTTATCTGGTGAATGAGGACATCCCAGCCTTCCTAACGCTTTCATAGGAACAAAAGACCATCCTGCCCCACTATCAGTAAGATAATACTTAATCTGTTGGTTTTGGAAATTCCACATTCCCATCCACACGTTTTAATTCCATTGGCAATCTACTCTACCTTTTTAAAAAATATTCAACAACCTCATCTGTATTGCCTTCCATGTCAGAATTCCAAAATAGCACAACTGTCTGAGAAAATAATTTTTTCTCATCTGTCCTAAAGGAGTGATTCCTAATTTTAAAGCAGTGCTACCTATTTCTACAAACAGAAATATCCTTTCTACATCCATCCTGTCAACACCATTCTGGATCTTGAACACTTCAACAAAGTGATTGTGCTCACTGTCTCTTCTAAAATCAGTGGAACCAAGCTCAGCTTTTCCAACCTTACCTAGAATGCGAGGAGTGTCTTATGAGGAGTCTACCTGGTCAATATCCTGTGAACCATATCTTATCTTTTTTTCCTTTTTTTTCTTTTTTGATTTGTAGATTGAATTGGAAAAAGGACAATTTCTTTTTTCAAAGAACTGAGGAAAGGATTGCTGAAAAGCAAGTTATTGAAACTCCTTGTAAGTTGTGTTTACACTGTTGCTTTGCAAGCATGGCGGGGGGGGAAGGTGCAGGAGAGAGCCTGGCACCAGAGGTTAATGCAGAAACTGAGATTTGGCTGGCAACAGATGCTGAT